AGCTCATTTGGATGATCCTAAGTCAGAAATCGATTTTGGAGGGGGGGGGGTGGCCTTAAGCAGAATTAATTAAATTGAAAGAGTAATTACCTTGATTTATTGACATCTTTGATAGAATAGGTAGAAATACATATATTTGCAATGTTCTTTAATTCAGAAAAGCAATGTTTTTTATAAGTCCTTATTCAGTACTTTTAATGTATTCATCTACAAGCTATATTTTTTACTATCTATACATCGAGCCTGAATGAGACAACTATTCTTTGTGGAGTAACATTAGGAATTCTTTTCTATGTCGACAGCTATCAACAAAGCTTGGAATTACAACCGTTTCCACTGAAAATATAGTAGTCAAGCATATGTAGTTTCAAAATATAAATGTGTCTTTGAAACTTGAACAATAAAGTAAAACTAGTAAGAAAGTGTGATTGCTACGACTCTCAACCCTAGTCATGACTATCAATCATAGTTATAGTCATAAATTCTATTAAATATAGTCAGTCTCAATACAGTCACTAATCAACATAAAGGGTGTCCCATAATAACTCATGATAAATTTTTAACGATATTTTTCATACGTTTTCTTGATGTAGAGGGCTGAAAGTTTTATCACATATATATATCTAATGAAGATCTTTTATTTCTGAAGGTTTCAGCTCTCTAGCTAAAACTAGTAATGAAATGCATCGGCAAGATTGAAATACACAAATTTTTGTAATGAATATAGGAGGGATAGTATGGTAATTCCATGGATAGTCAACCAAAAAATGACAAAGTATTTAGAAAATTTTCTTTCACATCAGGCTTTGTAGAGCTTTTTTCGCTGATCATTTTGGTAAAAAAAAACTTTTCGAATTTCATTGAGAAATGGCGATGTTATAGTCAAAATATTTATCGTAAAAACAGAAGATGTCAGATTTTTTTGATAAGAATGTCGTGTACAATGTTTAATCACGATTTATATATCCTATTCGTCAGTATCTGAGAAACTGACTATAGGGTTTTGTAGAGCAAACTTTCCTCTACAAAACCTACTATCTCACATTTCTCCAGAATATAGCCATTTTGAGATATGTGAATTGACTTTTACTTACATTTTAACCCATTTTTACAGTGTTTAGTATTTTGTCTATAACATCGTCATTTCTCAATGAAATTTCGAAAGTAGTTTTTAGCAAGATGATCAGCGAAAAACGCTCTATAAAGTCTGACACGAAAGACAATTTTCTAAATACTTCGTCATTTTTTGGTTGAGTCCCCTTGGAAGTACTCTGTAATATTTTCACAGTAAAAAATATTGAGAAAATCGAGTAGGAAAATTCATGTATTTTAATCTTGTCGATGCATTTCATTACTAGTTTTAGCCAGAGAGCTGAAACCTTCAGAAATAAAAGATCTCCATTAGATATATATGTGATAAAAATTTCAGTCCTCTACATCACGAAAAAGTATGAAAAATATCATTAACAATTTATCATTAGTTATTGTGGGACACCCTTTTACTCTTATCACTGCTCGTAACTTTAAACTAATTAAAACTACTGATCAAACGGAGGTCCATAAATAAGATATGCTTCCGCAAACGTCAACATGACATTATTCATTTTTTTCCTTGAATAATGTTACAATCGTTTCTCCTTATCTTTGAGATAAAAAATATAATGATTGTATTTTCTTTTCTTTCAATCACCTATTTCCTTGTGCTCTTGTCATCTTGATTTTCTTATTCTTCCATTTCTTTTCTTCGTTCAATTATATATAGATGTGGGAAAAGAAGGAAAAGGTAGAATACCATACATATTCATATAAATGGTAATGATTGTATAAAAGTGAACAGAAAATAAGCTGATACAATGACTTCGAATTGAAGTAAAACGTATGTGATTATCTTGACAGAGACTAGTATCTTAGTTTCGTCACAACATGTATCGTAGATTAGTAGCACTATTTTAAAGAATTAAAATTAAAAATAGGGTTGTTTCTTTTTTTAAATATTATTCTCAGCTGTTCACAACTTAAGATTATAATTAATCGTATAACGAAAGATATATTTACTTACAAGTATGTTCTAGGTCGATGTATAGATAGAAGAAAATATAGCTTGTAGATGAATACATTAAAAGTACTGAATAAGGACTTATAAAAAACATTGCTTTTCTGAATTAAAGAACATTGCAAATATATGTATTTCTACCTATTCTATCAAAGATGTCAATAAATCAAGGTAATTACTCTTTCAATTTAATCAATTCTGCTTAAAAGATTAAGAAAGTTAATGAAGTTGAAAGTTATAACTATAGTTATAACTGCGGTTATAACTACAGTTGATAGTTATAACTACGGTTGAAAGTTATAACTGCGGTTGAAAATTATAATTGCAGCTGATAGTTATAACTCGGATTGATAGTTATAACTGAGGTTGATAGTTATAATTGCAGTTGATAGTTATAACTCGGATTGATAGTTATAACTGAGGTTGATAGTTATAACCCGAGTTATAACCATTTTAACTTTTTGCCGTTTTTCTCAACTATCAACTTTTTGAAAAATAGTTGTAACTCCCACACTGGTCTAGACGCAGCTGAAGAAAATTTCGAACGCATCTTGACGCTATTATAAATGAAAACGCGTTCAATAAAAAAAATGTTCAAACGCGACTGGATGCGGTTTGAGTTAGAACGCACCAAGACGCGGTCAGATGAAATTCTGAGCCGCAGCTCAACTCATTTTCTATGGAACCGCATTTGTACGCGGGTGATAAAAACTGTTTACACACGTGTGAATGTGATTTTACATGAAACTGTGTCTGTACGCAATTGATCAAAAAACTATTTAAAAGAAGAAGACATAAAATTTTATTATCTGTACCCCGGTCGAACTTGGCAAGAATAGAAAGAAATGTTTAGTTTCAAAGTTTATGTACTTCATGTATAAGAGAAAGAGGTTTATATCGTAGCACGAATGAATTTCTTTAGAAACTTCATTTTTCTAATGTATCAAAAAAGTTATACGAGTGACCATTAGTATAATGAGACTATCTCTCTACTCAGCACTATTTCTATTAATCGATAGCCTGTTTTCAAGAAAAGTGATAAATATAAACTAGTTTTGCATCAAATCATAGATCAAGAAGTCTGCTCTAAAAGACGAAAGATAAAATTTATTTTCACTTTTTGATCAAAAGAATCTTTTTGAAATTTAAATTATAAATTATGTACTCAATTTGAACTTTGTTTTAAGAATAAAATATACTTTGTCATAAAATAATTGCACTTCCAGTGTTTAAATGTTGTGGGTGGCATAGTGTTCAATTCATGTCAAATCATGTATGTTGTTTTCATTTTATATTGTTACGAAATGAAGATGCCCAAGAAGATATTCAAACTCAAATAGAAAATCTAATAGACAAATCTCTTTTCTACGTTTCCTAGACATACAACATCGTCTCTACATTACCCATCGCGTGCACATAACAAACAAACTTGCAAATCCTGCACTTAGTGCCCTACTGACGTATATATATTTGCTAAAAACTCAAAGAAAAAGACACTTTAGAAATTAAAATTTATCTTTTTATGTTAACGTGGTTTGAAGAAAAGCTTTGCTAAATGCTTTTTTATATAACAAAAAAGAAAGACGAAAACAGTATATGATATTTGATAAAATAAAATAACTATATAATCAATTTTAAAAGATAGGCAGTATTTAATATTATAAGTATCAGTAATTTATAACAAAATAAGTGAAAATTATTTGTGAAAAGAAAAATTTCCGAAAATTTTAAAGAAATTTTAATATATGCAATTTTATGCAAGTTTTTTTTCCATACAAGAATATAAATATTAACAAATGAGATATAATTTAGGCAGAAAACATTCTATTGATAGATGCATTTGTACCTATAGATATGAAGTCGTGATTCATATATACTTTCTGTTTCATTCGACAGTGATTGTGGTCACATGTGGCTTCATGGTACGTATACTTGCTTCTAAATCGCTAGTTCACTTGTTCTAATCTCATTTCTATCATTTTAGATAAATCAACATTTCAACATTCCGTTCGCCTATAGTGAGGTAAAGATCATCGTTAGAGGATATCGATGGCGACTCCTATCAAACCTGAGACGGATTGTAATATTTTTTAAAAATTTTAAATACCGAACCGCACACGTTTAGACGCGATTTAATTCATAATCGCGTCTAACCGCAATTTGGTTGGGAACTGCGTCTCCGGTGAAACATTTCTTGCGTCTAGACGCGGTTGCAGAAAATCGCGTCTAAACACGGTTGGAAAAAATCTCGTCTAGACGCAAGAATTGTTTCACTGGAGACGCGTTTATTGAGTTTCTCTGTTGCGATACACATGCAACGAAACGCAACTCAGACGCGTTTTTCTTGAAAACAAAATTTACATGGGACAGTCTCGCTCTTATCATTGATTATCAATGAAAACAACTACAGTATTCACGAAATTTTTCAATTTACATATGATACATTAGAACATTAAGGTTTAAGGATATATGTGAGTTCCACATTTCAGCTCCAAAGGAGTTGTGCTAACAAGCTTTTTCAGTATATTCTTAAGGAAAACTTAAGAATAGTCGTAAAAAATCAGTACAATAAAACATTTGACTAGGTTTCTAATATACTCCAGATGAATATCGAACTTTATCCATAAGAATCAAAATTATTTTTATACTATCGTATAACAACTAGGGGCGGGAAGTTCCCGTTACCGTTCCCGGGTAACGGTAACAGGACAGTTACCAGTTACCAAGGTAACGCGAACGGGACCGTTACCAGTTACTTTTTCCTGGTAACTCCTCGAAAAAGATAAATTATTACTTTCTGTCAACAGAATTTTGCCATTGCGTTATTTTTTAAGTTGACCCGTTACCAGTTACTTGGGTAACTGGTAACTCCTTCCATAGGAACCGTTACTGTTACCATTCCCGGGAAACGGTCTGGGAATGGTAACTTTCCACCCCTAATAACAACTTCAAAAGTAAATCATTTTGAACTTTTTATATCGAGCTGTATTTCTTTCTTTCACCTGAACACCAAGAATGCCAAAGACGAGAAAGAATATACAACAAATAATAACAACATGACCGATTGAACTCAATGATGAAAGTAAAGTTTGAACAACAAGTTTAAGGCCAGATGCCCGATTGATAACTAAAACGATATAATGGAAAAATCAATCAACAGAAAAGAAAAAAAATCTTTTCCAACCTGAGAGTGGTCGTAATATTCGTACTAAACGAAAGACTTTTAACACGCTCAGATTATTTGATGTTGTATACGACTCTGTGGATAACGTAATACTACTTCGATTCATTATACCAATATTAACAACTGAAATAATTACAATAAATCCATCCATAACATTCCAACCGGTATGTAAATATGTATTAGGTCCAAAAATAAGTCCACTTGCAATTACTTTAATCATCATTTCAATAGTAAAAATAGCTGTAAATATATAAGTAGCGTAGTTCAAAACTTGCCGTTCCTACAATATATTAGTAATCGTTAGCTTTTAAGTTGAAAATAAAAACTAAGTGATTACATACGAAACTTATAGGAGAAATTGATGGACGTTCCATAGCAAGTGTAATACAATTGAGAAAAATAAAGAAAAACATTAAATAATCAAATGATTTTTGTACAATTAATCGTTGAAATACTTTGCGTAGTCTACTGAAGATAACGGAATCACAAATTTTCAGATTTGAATTATTTTCAGAGTAAAATTTTACCTATTCGAAGGTGAAAAAAGATAAAGTGAATAGTCTTCTCGCTTCTTTAAACATTTAAATATTTGTTGTTCGCTACATCGACTTAAACATGAGCGAATAATCTAAAATAAAATAGAATTTATGTAACGAGAAGAATGAGATATATATATTCATTATTAATTTTGATTTTGATAAACTTTCTGATTCAGGTCAATCACATTCGACCGGTAGATTCATTACCTTCAAAAATTTTGAACTCGGATCCAATCACAAACAATTTTTCGGATTAACCTCCAGTGCAGATGTGAATAGATTCGATCGTTTTTTTTCGATTACTAGCATGCCCTACACGTTGTTTAATGAGACTGACGGATAGAACCACAAGAGTCAAAATTTTTGGTATGAAGTACTAAAATTAGCTCAGAAAGTAGTAATCAATGAATCTTTTTCAAGTGAGTATTTACTTCGAAATGATTTTGAAACAAAAAAAAATCAATATTTACTCCTAATTTTTGAGTTGTTAATTCCAATTGTGCATCATCTCTAGTTGACACATCTAATTGCATATTGTTTTGATCGTTTATCGGTAGTTGAGTACCAATAGCAAGTCGTATAGTACTACTAGTATTAGATACTGTATGTCTATCATTTTTTTCTTGGTTTCTTGGTGTTTGATAAATACTTGTCGATAAATTTTGATTAAATGAATGTGATAAATTATCGATTGTTGATCGACATTTAACAATTGGATTTAAGCATGTATTTGTTATCTTATTTGATTCTTGTTCAATTAAATTTCCGTCGTGAACAATAAAATATCGTGTTGATGATAATGGAAATGATGGATCAGAACTTGTACGACGTACAGAACTGGTTAATGCATCTTGTCGTCGATCATTTTTCTTATCATCATTAGTGAGTTTAATATTAGTCGATTCATCGAGATTCTCCGGTATTTGAATATTACCTGTGATAATTGCTTGTATCTGAAAAAAAAACATTTTTTTTATAGATATTACAATTTTTGTTTCATTTTATATTTCTTACTTGAAACGGATCTACTTTCTTCAATCTATCTGTACTCTTATTACTATTTGTTGTAATATCTTCTTGCTAAATAAAATAAAATAATGATAAAATATTTAAAAAAAAAAAGTTAATATACTACATTTGAAAAACTTTCAACAAGAATAGCAACAAGTAAATTCAATAATATATAATTGCCAACTACTATAAGTACAATAAAATATAATGCTGACCATGGACCTATCTTTGTCATTCCATTATAAAGTACTTCATTCCAATCTTCTTGTGTTATGATCTATTTTATATTGTACAAGTTAGAATTATTCAAAAAAAATAAATGAAATGGTTAACAGAAGGAATATATTGGAGGTAAGAAGAAGTATGATACCTGAAATACTGTTATTAATGCAAAACGAAGTGAATCGAAGTTTGTTCTGTCTTGTATACATGTTAAATCTTTGAGATCAGTAGAATTTTTTAATAAATCCCATTCGACACACGCACAACAATGGCATTTCATATTAATTTGATCACGTGATGTTTTATTGAATGCTTCAAGCGTGCAAAATTCACCACCGAATAAATCCACACCAAGAACGCTATTCAAAGGAGGTGTGTCAAATTCCTATCTCGGCGTACCAATAAATTTGACCCTAATTTTATCAGCGCTAGAATCAAGTATTGAACCCTGATTCTTTTTCATGAGTTTATTTTACACTTTCTCATGATTCGATTTTTCGACTCTGGGGTCTCCCCAGGGGTCGAAAAAATTTTTTATCCAAAATCCTTTAGAAGTCCTTATAGTTTTATAGAACTAAGTGTACTGATTCCAAATATCATATTTTTTGTGTACTGAAAAAGTGAGTACACTACTCAAATCGGTCTGTGTGTCCGTCCGGCCGTCCGTATACACGATAACTTTCGAAAGGAGAGTCAGATCACGATGAAATTTTTTACACAGTTTAGTCTTTACAATATCTCGATCGAATTCGAAGATGAGAAGGATCCGTCAAGAAATGGCTGAATTATCAAAAAAATGTGATTTTTGACCAGGCCATGCCTGAGGGGGGGGGTAGGGAATTTTTCGAAAAAAAAAGTTTTTGCTCAAAAGTATTCACAAAATGCATAAATCGACTCAGTTTTTAACGCTGACTCTGAATCTGATATCAGTTTTGAACCAAATTATAGTTTTTGTGCACTCAAAGAGCGAGTACACTATAGAATAGTTCGTGTGTCCGTCCGTCCGGTCGGCTGTTTACATGAGAACTTTTGACACTAGAGGCAGATTGCGATGAAACTTTCTACACAGCTTAGTCTTGACAATATCTCGGTCAAATTCGAAGATGAGAAGGATCGGCCGAGCCCTTCCTGAGTTATTGCAAAGTACCCCCTTTTCCCTATGGCTTCCTATTAGAAATTCGACCCATCACTACTTTCGTAAAAGACTTTTCCTATCATAGTCAATTAAAATCCCAACTATTATATACCATTCGATAGGGAATTGCAAGAGCTACAAAATCATATATAAAAAATTAAGAAACAAGAAAACTAACTCATCTGTAGATAAGATAAATAAACGGAGGTTGGTTCGGTTTTCTTACACGCTCTAATCGATCCCCAATGGGAAGTCTACCTTTCTATCATAGAGTTGATAATCGAAGGTTTTCTAGTATGGAGAACTCGAATCAGTACTTCACTGATCACGAAGGCTCATCGGTTGAGCATTGACCAATAGAAATCAAGTTATAGGAAAAACGACTTTCTGAGGCTAAGTTAGGTGGAAGAGTTGAAAGCTGAGGTATATACACTTCCAAATCGTGTTGGATGAGCAGTAGGCAATAGAACTGAAAGGTTTATAGAAAAGCTTTACCAGGCAAATTTTTATATTCAGACATTCTAGGATGACCGCGTCTGGTCATTGACTTTTTGAAGTACACATCATTTCGGATATAAATCCGAGATTTCCGCATTTATTTTAAAGATTAAGAGGGAAATAAGACAGATCTGAAGTACTTTACGCGAGGCCTAAAAAACCAGTTTTTGACCTACAGCTTCATGGAAATCTCATTTAGATTAATTGAAAATAGACTCATTCG